ATATTCTATAATATTTATCTTTTTTATTTTAATACTTGTTCTATGCTTTTCGTGTGGAGAGGAACAGAGTGCAGATTGATCCATGATGATAATAACCGTTGATCCTTTATATTGATGGTTTTTCACTTTGACTGATGCAGAGCTTTGACACAAAACATGACGCAGCATCTTTACATGTATACATTTTAGACTCATGACATCTGTATACTTGTACATGTGTCTCCATGTGTTGGTGTTTTCACGTGAACCTCCGTGAATGTTCTGACTGAATGAGACTCTCCTCCTGGATTCCCAACATTCTTCTGTCCTGTGGGATCTTGTTGAGTCGAAGAGACGCCTGAACATGTAAAACCCACTGCAGGGTGTGTATGTGTGTGTGTGTGTGTGTGTGGTTATCTCTCTGACGGCCAGTTTGAGTGTTATATCGAAGTGAGGACCTTCAGGCCATTCAAAGGCCGGTTCATATTTGGTTTAAGGTTTATAATCAGATCAGTGATATGAACGTGTGTCGCTGCTGCAGTCAGATCAGACTAAAACTTCAGTCTGTGAACTAAAGTCACTGTAAAGTTTTCAAACCAAACCAGAGACTGAAGCTTCCGTTTTACATTAAACTCTGAAGTTTAATTCAAACCTCTGAGTCCATTAAAAGTAAAAAGCATTCTCAGTCTTCTCCTCCAGAGTCACATGAAAGATTTCTGAAGAAACAAAACTACAAATAAAACGTGGATTTTTGTGATTTTCTTTAGTTCAGTTTGTGTTAAACTGCCTGCTGCTCTCTGATTGGCTGGTTTGAGTCACATCAAGTCAGAACGAACGTCTCTATTTACAACAAACAAACAAACAAACAAACAAACAGAAGTAAACAACCTGATCATATGTTCAGAGGACAGGCGGCTGTTTCCAGGGCAACAGAAAATCACAATAATAAAACTAAACTTTCATCAGACATTTGAAATATTTAGATTTTTTATGTTGTTTTTACTCGTTTTAGATTTATACATTTATTTTTATTGTTGTTTCTATGTTTGCAACATGTTGACTTTCATGCATTTATTAGGTTATTTATATTCTTTTATTTGTATTACATACAAATATTCATGATACGTTTCAATGTATTCACCCAATTTTATTTAAATTTAGCTTTTGTTCTAAAATTTTTTACTAATGTGTGATATTTTATAAATATGTTTTATTTATTGGTGTTTTATTGATGTAATTGTGATATTTCAATTTTTTGTGTTGTATTATTTGTATTTATTTAACCACATTTCTATTGATTCTATTAATTAGATTTTTTTATTCATCATGTTATTGTCTAAATTTTTTTTGTTTGTATTTAATTTGTAGGTATGCATTTGTCATATTTATATTACTTGTATTTTCCTATTTCAGTTCATTTAACTCTAAAAAGTCCTATTTTTGTTTTTATTTAATTTTATTTTTATACACTTATTTGTATTTAATTTATGCTTATTTCTGATATTTCAATTTTTTATTTCCTTTTGTTAAATCTTTCATTTATTTGTGAAATTCATATTCATCTTTTCGACTCTTCATGTTTTCAGATTTCTTTACTTTATTCTTTTATTAATTTTAAAGTATGTGATCAGAAAGTTTTTTTAGGTTTCAACAAACAGCAGCATAGAAACTTCAACTGTAAAGTTCTACAGCCTCAATGACTAACTGAACCAGAACCAGAACTAAAACCAGACTGGGTTTGTCTCTGCAGCCAAAACTCTTAAGTTCTACTGAAGTTGGTGAACTCACCATGTTTGCAGCTGCTTCACTTCCTGATTCAAGTAAAAGTCCTCAGAGGATCTCAGGTGGATCCAGGTGAGTCCAGACTGAAGCTGGATCAGATCAGACCTCCTCAGTTCGGGTCGGTTCGCTCTGGTTCGGTTCAGATGGATTCTGTTGCTTTGAACAACATTTTTCTGCGCGGCTGTTTTTCCTCCTTCAGTCTTCAGCGTCTCAGCTCTGTGCAGGTGTGGACAGGTGAGGCTCCGCCCACTCCTCAGGCCTCTTGAACTCTGGGTAATGCGGTCTGAAGACAGTCCAGCTGAGCTCTGCTGCCCCCCACAGACCGGAACCAGAACCACAGCAGTGTGCAGCTTCATTCATTCAAAAATCCAAATCTGTTTTTATTTGTTCTTCATGTTTTCATTTCGTTGTTTTCTGAATCGTATTTGATTTGTGTCATCTGTTTTTTATTTGCATATTTAGGATTTTTTTTTTTTAACATTTACTGAGATTTTACTTTCTGAGGAAGTAATTTGCATTTATTCATAACATGTCTTTGTATTTTCATTTATTCATAATCTCTCATTTTATGACACTATATATTTATTCATGATACTTTCTTTTTTAATCTGTACTTGATTTTTTTTTTAGCAGTTTCATTTAGAATTTTTAATATATTTAGAATATTTTTTAAAATTTAATGTACTAATTTTACAAGTTTTTTAATGTATTTATTTATTCATGACTTTAAATCAATGTGCTAACTTTACATAAAATGAGCAGAAACAGGCATCTGAAGGAGCTTTATTAGAAATGCTTCAGTTTCTGACTTTTGGCATAATTTCTTTTCACTGCTTTTGTTTAAGTTCATTAATCAGCTTTTTTTTTAAAATTATTTTACGAGATTGAAATCATAAACAGAGGAAGCTTTTCATCTTGTTTGCAGCAGACGTTCTTTAATGACCTCTGAGCCCATTTTTAAAACAAACATCAGAAAACTGAAAAATGAGAACAAATGACTAAACAAACATTTCAACGTTTTAACACTATTTCAAGCCTTAACTCAGGGGTTTGTCAGACTTCTCATTATCGATTTTTGTCTTTTCCATTCAATTAAAACTGAACATGTGGTGTTTTTCTGTAAATCAAGTTGTAAATGTTGTTTCTTTTCTGCTAAAACAGATCTTTAAAAATCCAGATTTTGAAGCTGCTTTTATTCTGTTTTCTGTAAAGTTTTTATTAGTTTATGTTTTATTGCTGATTTTTTTTTTTTTTATCATAAACTCCAGAACTGTATTCCACTTGGATCAGACTATCGGCCAGTTTGTTATTTTAACTTTTCAAAGCTGCTCAGTTATTAAAGCTCAATGACAAAAACTTTTTTCTTGTTCTTGTGACAAAGTATTTCACATTAAAAGTCTTCTTTAGTTTTATATGACTGTGACATGAAGGTATATATGATTCAGAAAATATCACTAGTTAACTTCTGCATTATCATTTTTTTTCTTTTTGTCATATTTCAACTCATCCACGATCAGAGATTATCTGATCTACTTGTTGAGTTTTACAGATTCTGAATCAAAGACATGATTCAGGCTTCTATCCTTAATAGTTATTTTAAAAATACATCTCAGGAGTAGTTGATATATGAAACTACATTCTCACAAATATCTTTAAAATATCCATATCTTATGCTGTTAAGATTTCAAGTGAGTCAGAGATTGTGGAGCAGAAATGATTGTAAAAATGTGAGATGAAACAAACCTCTCTGAACATTTAGGATTAAATTCTGCTGAAGATGTTTTGAGTCTGTTTCTGAAATATTCTGAATTAAATACTAAAAACACTGTCGGTTTGATGACAATGTTGGATCAGATATTTCAAATTCAGCAGGTTGTCTTTTTGTAGAATCATCCTTTTGTTTGATTTCACAGAGTTCAAGTGTTTTCTGACCTGCAGTGTGTTTCTGATCAATCTGTGGTTTAAACCTGCTGTTTTCTCAGGTTAGCAAGAAATAAACGGAGGGTTTGTTGTTTGTCAGGCTCTGAAACATTCAATGTAATCCCTGTCCAGAGTTTGATTCTAGGAATAACCTCTGTGAAAACACACCTGAACTTTCTCTGCACCTGCAAGTTTGTTTACTTCCCGAAACATCCGAGTTCATCATCGCGTCGGATGCAAAAGATCAGAAACTGAACAAAAGCGTCATCGATTCTGTTCACAATGAAACCTGAGGTTTCAAAATAAAACATCAATCTGCTTTAAGCACAAGTTTGAAAATTAAAAGCGTTCCGACAGAAAATAGTGTTCAAGGTCTGACAATATGAAAACATCGCCAACATTTCTGAATAATTCTCAGGTTGTTTCTGTTTTTCTTTTTTTTATTGAGGTCAGTGTTGCTGGAAAAGGAGAAAAAAAAAATCAAGAAAAACTGAATGTTCTGCTGCAAAAATCCAGAAAACCATTAATGAAAATATATTTTTTTGTGATTTTCTCAGTGAACTGAAGGTTAAAATTAACCTCAAACCTAAACACATAGAGAGCAGGAGACGGGAACCATCTGAATCTAACCACCAGGATTCAGGACAATAATCCAGTTTGTCTGCTGATCAGATTTTACATTATTAATCTGAATACACTGATTATTTACTACATTTATCTGATAAATGTAGTAAACAAAGCACAACATTTCAGGTTTTTAATCTCATAGTTCCTGAAATATTGCTGTTCAGACAGCCTCAGATGTCAATGTGGAACTGAGGAGGAAAAACAGACGGCTGAAAGTGGGTCAACCAGCAGATTTAAAAAAGAAATGATCCCTAAAAGTATTTATTACATCAATCTAAAATTCCACAGATATCATTTCAAATATCCGTGTTTTGTGTTAAAAACATTTCAAGCAGATTAGAGTTGTTGGAGCTGAAGGTGAAGGACCTTGAAGTCGACATGATGACAGCTGAACAGGATGAATCCTATCCCGTCTGTTTTATGCACAGATGAATTCAACACCACAGGTTTCATTTACTGACTTTTCAGTGCTGCAGATGTTCGGCTGGTTTCAGACCTTAAAACAAAATAAACGTTCTATGAAAAGATTCAAACCCTCAAATGTCTGAACATCAAAGTCTGGTTATTCTTCTACCAAACCAGCAGCGCTTTGCTTCAGTATCTCACAGAGTTAATTAAGAGTTAATTACAAATACTGACGTCAGATTTCAGATTCTTCAGTCAAGCTAAACTGGAGCTGCAGGTCGACACTGGTTGGTTTTAATGGGTCAAACTGGATCACAGAATCTGCAGCTACAACATGAAGAAACAAGGTGTGGTCCTTTAATCAGTCTGTTACTAACGCTGCTCTGCTCAGCGACAATAAAAACCCGCCGCCTGCTGACGGTTCACAGTTCAAACTAAAACTGGGCCGCTCTCTGATTGGCTACGAGTCCGGCTGAGCGGCCAATCAGGGGCTTCTGCCCAAATATGGAAAAAGAAGAATAAGAGGAACAAAAGGAGATGAAGAGAAAAACAGATTGTTCTAAATAAAGGCAAAGGAAGTGGAATAACAATTAAATAAAAGAAGAACGTAGAGTTTTAAAAGCTGAAGATCATCAGCTCCTCAGTCTGTACACACACGCGCACGTACACACACACATACAGACACACAAACACACAGAGGTCACATGACAGCGGTCACATGATGCCGTTGGTCAGGTACTGGAAGCCGTCGTAGAGTTTGGTGGTGAGCGACCTCATTGATCCGTCGACCAGCTGATCAATCAGCAGCTGCAGCTGCTCCTCCGTCAGGCTCATGTGGAAACGTTCCTTCAGGCCTCGCATCGTGCTCGAGCCGTGGAAGCAGGGAAGCTGGGAGCCTGGGGGCAAACAGAGAGGGCAGTTATTGCTGTGCAGGGGGCAGCCAGCAGGTAGAGTTCCAGCAGGTGGAGTTGCAGCAGGTGGTGTACTCACCTTGTTGCATGATCTCCACGATCTGCAGCACTCTGTCCATGTGCTTCCTGGCTGCGATCAGACCCTGCAGCATGAGCATCTTATAGTAGTTAAACATGTCGCCGTCTGGACCGCCCATCACCTGCAGACCACACACAGGGTTAGAAACATCCACAGACATTCATTAAAGGCAGACACAGCCTCCTACAGGACAGGTCAGAACTCTGAAAATTAAATCCTTCAGCTTTTTGAACTCACGTCCACGAACTCTGAGGTGAGTTTGAAGGCAGATGTTTCAAAGCCGAGGTTTTTGGGTGAGCTTGACAGGATGAAGCCGAAGTCGATGTGGATGATGTGTCCGTCAGCGTCCAGCAGGATGTTCCCGTTGTGCCTGAGAAGATGGAGACAGTTACACCCTGTTGGACAGTCTGATTGTGTGCAGCTCAGATGACTCCTCACCTGTCTTTGACCTGCAGCAGGTAGCAGATGAGGCTGTATCCGGCGCAGCTCTGCACAAAGTTTCTCTGAGCTGACAGGAAGGCCTCGGTGGTCGGGGCGCCGTGCTCCTGCAGGAAGTAGTCGAGCAGAGACAGCTGACTCTGCTTCTTCACCTGGTGCAGCGACACTGCGTTCATCACCGGCTCGATCATGCCGCTGTCCGCCGACAGCACCAGGATCTTATAGGGTTTGATCCACAGAGGAACCCGCTCCTGCTCCCAGATCGACTGCAGGGAAACAGAGACGTGAGGTCAGAGGAGGAGTCATCCGCTCAGAGTCACATGACGTGATGTCACAGCATTACCTTGAGCTGTTGCAGCACCTGGAAGGCCAGCAGCTCCTGCCTCAGGTCATCGCCACATTTAACAATAACTGACAGAAGCCTCCAGTTTGGAAAGTGACCATAAGGAGAACCTTCTCTGATCCGCCTGCAAACACACAAATAATATTTAAAAATATCACTGTCAGACTTAAACATAAGAAAATATACAATCTAGAGTCAGAAATATAAATGCATAACATGTTGGCTCCTTATTTCTCACTGTGCAGCTGGTGGATGGAGGACAGATATTTGTTCCCAGAGTTTGACCTGCAGGCTTCAGGTGTTTACCCAGATACTTCTGCAGTCTGGGAGGAGGCTCTGCCTTACAGACTAAACTGAGGGATCAGGTGTGCAGATGGGTGAAGCCCTGTCAAGTGAGTAAGAAAAGGTGGAGTCACCTACCGGACCTTCTCCTCCCAGGGCTCCTTCAGAGCCACAGCTGAGGGGTCCTCAGGGTCCCGTTTGAAGGTGGTGGGGGCC